AGGTTGCAATGAGCTGAGATTGCACCACTGCCCTCCAGCCTGAATCAACGTGGTTAATATGGTGTCAACATGGTGACAGAACAAGACTCCATCTAAAAAAAAAAAAAAAAAGCCAACGTCCTTTGTTTGTGTTAGCTTTAAAGGCTTTGTAGCCCAGACCATACAGTAGGCTGACTTCCGCAATGCACTCTCTGGCTGAGCTCGTATGATCCCCCCAGTCTCTGGCCTTTGTGTTGGGAGGCACCTCACTCTGGCAAGCTGCCCTCTTGGACAGTATTCCTTCAAGACAACTCCAGCCTGATTACCTTCCAAGGTCTTCTCTTGACCTACAGAGAGCTCATATATCCTTGCCGTGCCAAATACTGGAAGGGCAATTGTTCTTGTGGCTGTCCTCTCTCTTGGGTTTGCATGCCTATATGGGTTTGCATGGCTATCTTTTTTTTATAAAGCAATCTAAAAAAAAAGAATGCTTTCTTTTAGATTGGAATTGAATGCCAGTCTATATTGTTCCTTAAACTCCACAAGATTTGTATAAATGCCTCAGAATGAACTCTTGGAAGGGAGCTGGAACTCAAAGCATAGCACTTTCTAAAACCCTCTTTTTTTGCCTCTTCAACCTCTACTCTTTCATAGCCAGGAGTGGGGTTGAAGTAAAGTTCACAAAATGGATTTGGGATCACCACTTTTGCAAATCCTTAATGTGCCATCATTTCACTTTGGGAACACATTGCCACCTCTGGAATGAATCCTTTTGGGGTGATGGCCAGCACTGAGTAGTTCTATTTACAGAATCCTGTTTTAGAGAGAGGATGCTCACTCGATGGAAGAAGTCAGTTAGAATCTACCATTTTCAGACAAGAAAGGGCATGTTCCTTTTGGAAAAGCTGGGTGGGCACAGTCCTGAGCAGTTAGAGGCATCATAACAGCACCAGGAAGCTGAATGCAAGGGCATAAGGACTAACTTGGCTCCTTCGCTGATATGACTGATGCCTGAAGTTAGAGTAAAGGTCTTTTGAAACTCCTAACTTGGCCCCACTCCTTTTTACCTCTTACTCTCTCAGTCATTCCATGTACCCCATCTGGGGGCCCTCCCCAGGGATAGCTTCTGGCCTCAGCCTAGACGAGCTGCTTCTGTCAGAGATTACTCTACAAGAGGCATCACCCAACTCTGGGCCACAACTGGAGATGTAAGTGCTGCTGCGCCCTGGCCAGGTTGGACAGCCACACTTCTCTTGAACACTACCCAGAATCTCCACTTCAATCAAGTGGTAAGAAGGGTCCTTCTCTCTTGCTCAGAAGTCCCATGGCTGTCTGGGCCTTGCCCCTCACTGAGTCGTTGGTCCATTCACAGAGTATTTCTCTCACCTCTCACCATGGCCAGCACTGTATAAATTCATGAAGGAGATGCAATTTATCTGAAGTGCTCTTGACCATGGGGAGGGGCATTTCATGCACATTGGTGTAAATTGGCACAACCTTTCTGAAAAGCAATTCAGAAATGTGTATCAAGAGTATTAAGGGTGTTTTTTGCCGTTTGAGAAATTCCATTTCAGTAACTTCCATTTCAAAAGCAGTTTCTAACAGGTTTGTAATGGGGAGTTTTTTTCACCTTGGGAAATCCATCTTTGATGTCGCGTCTTCTG